CAAAATAAATCTCATACTCAATTTAAGAAATTTTTTTTTTCTAATGCAGTTGTGGAAATTAAACTTTTTCTATTAAAATAATTCCTTTTTTATTTAAGATTTGAGGTCTTTAGTATCAGTTTACAAAAGCATACAATTATACTTTTATTTGCGTTTTAATAACATTTTGTATATACATTTGATTTGTATTTAATAATAGAAAATAATCTAAATAATAATGCTGTAGAAGACATCAGTCAGTAGCGCATGAACTGGCCAATCATTTTACATGCTTGATGAAATACTTGCATGTGCGTATACAGAGCTGGATTTGATAGTAAAAACATTTCTAGAATGAAATTTATCAATTATGGATGATTTCTTTCATTTTTATATTTCCAATTTTCGTTATTATTTGTACACATATTATGTTTCTAAAACATAGTTGTGGGAGCTTTATTTCATAATTTGTTGATTTGCACTTGCAAGCAGCCACATTACAAAATGTGTGTAAGTTAAAATATATGGGAACTAAATTTAAAAGAATAAAATAAGGTAAATAAGGAACTCCATTTCTTGATACAAGATATATATATATATATATATATATATATATATAAGGGACACCGGTGTCAAATGTGCGCCAGGGGGTTAAATGATAGATGAAACATTGAGATTTCCATTCCATATGAATTAAAGTTATTAGAATTTTTAAAAAAGTGTGTAAATAATTTTTCATTGCTTTTACTATTTTCTCCATTTTTTTAAAAATCTGATTACATGCGCATTTCAAAACTTCGTTGCTCTATAACGTGTAATTTTTGCATGCAAATGAAGGCTATATGATATAATCAAAATCTTTAAAGATTAACTTAAAATGACTTCAAATCAATCAAATCATTATTAAGTAATGAAATTTCAAAAATCCATATTTTTAAATTTTTATTCCTCAAAAACTATTCCACGAATACCGTTAAAGTTTTGGATTTTGTTAGTTTAAAATTATGTAGATAATTCTAAAGATTATAATTAAACAGTTTTGACCATTGTTTAATTAAATAGAAATTAAAAATTTAAATTCATAGAAATCAAAAATTGAAATTAACATTAAAGAGTCTAAAGTTTCGACCAGTTTTCTGCCTAAACTATTAGGACTAAATTTTCCAGATTTCCACTACCTCTCCCTCTATTTTGTGGGTCAAGAATCTAAATCCGTCATAAAAAAAAGTCATTTATTCAGAAAAAGTGTGTCTTTCCCTCCTGATTTTGAAGCTCAACATAACGTCTTCTTAAACTATGTAGAATTTAATAAAGCAATCCCTCTAACCATTAAAACTTCATTAGTCCGTAGAGTCGCGGTAATCTAGTAGTTAATCGGAATCCGGTCCGGAAGGGTGTAGTTTGATACTTTGATTTCGCTAAGATCCACCGAGTACATGCGATGTACGAGCTCGTAAAATCTGTGGAATCGAAAGTCCTGTGGTCGTCACTAAGCAGCACCATGGGTAAAGGGATCTGGAGAAAATTTCCTTCCCTTTTAGATCTATGTCTAAATTGAGTAAGTGGTCTCACAAATGAATAAACTATGATAGAAGTCTTCGGATCATACGCAGGGATGTTTCCCAGACCGTGACACAATAGCCCATTAAGCAGCTCTAATGCGACGAAAATAAAGTACTTACCTATCATTAGTACATAACAATTCTATCGTTCGATCAAAAATTATTATAGTGGTCTGTACTTTATTTTGTGCAACATTATTTAAATCGATAACATTATCTTAAGCAAACGATTTAAATCGGTAATATGTATTCAATTTCTACTTGAGAATGTTGGAAAATTAAAGATACACTAAGCATAGACATTGTTATGTTGAGATTTTAGCATTTTTAAGCATATTTTAATAAGCTTTGTTGAAAACAAATGTTTAAGATAAGTAAATGAGTAAAAAAAAAAATATTTTGAAGTTAATTTTGGAAGATTTTTAAAATTTTCATTTTTAACTTTTAAGAAAAGCCTTTCAATTCATTACAAAACATAATGAAAAATATATTACCTACGAATGGATAATTTCTGAAGTGTATGGCAAATATATCCTTGTTTACAAAATAATCGATTTAAGACAAATTCCTGCTGGTGCTAACTATTTTATACTTCTTTCTTTTAAAAAAATATGTGATTCAATAGATATTTGTTTCTTCTGGATGCCACAGTCGCAAAGTTTCAAGAAGGTGATTATTTTTTCATCAAATTTGCAAATTTAAATGTCATTTTTTTTAAAAAAATATTTTTTTAAATTTGTTATTGAAACAGGACTTAAAGTTTGGCAAAGAGGGAATCTGTTCTTCTCTTGGAAGATTTTGATTTGGAATTGTTATTAATAACTGTAATACTTAAATCAGTGAATTTATGTAATTATTAAAATAGATTAAATGTAAACTTGATAATAAAAAATGTTTAGTTTTATCTTGATTACAATGACTATTTTATTAAATTTAATGCATTAAGCCTTGTTGGGAGCTTGTTGAATTCGAAAAAAAAAAGTCCTAGCAAGCAATTGCTGTTTTTGAATGCGATTTGAAATTGTATAAATATTTTAGATAGGGGCCGTTAGCAGCATGATTTGGCAATTTTAAACATTCCCTTCCCCGTGCAAGCGAAAAATAAGCAAATCAGTAACCAATTTCCTGCTTATATAAGAAAATTGAGCACTTCCTTGTACTTTTCTTTATTTTAAAATTAAAGATTAAATTCGTATAAACTGTGTAACTTTACATAAAATACATTTCGTGTTTCAATTCATTTTCAAATATTTTATGTCGAATATCATTTAAGAATATTCTACGTTTTCCTTTTGTGATGAAAACTCTTGACATCTGAAACACCTTCAAGAATTTTTTTTTTTACTTTTCCCAAACATAACTATTATTTCAAAGTTGAAATTTAAGCGTAATTTTTTTTTTGTTATAATTTTTTCGTTTGCAATTGTCTTTAAAGAAAAAATCTTTGAAAATAAGATTGTTTTGATGTTTTACATAAGCATTGCTCAAACCCTTCGTCTGTAAAAATAATAAAATCAAAAAAACCTCTTCTTCGTTTAGATGCGGTGTTCACGTAATTATTGAATGACTCAGGGCCGGACATTTCCCTCAGACTTACCTAGGCAAACTCTTAGGAGCGCTAGAGATTTGATTTATTTAAAAATATCGAAAATAATTTTTTTTAATGTTTTTTGCTTTTGGAAATATACAAGTAAAAAATAAAATGCTTTTCGTCGTTGTTACCCTATATTTAGTAGGAAGAAAATGTATAAGCATGCTCAAATTAAAAATACAGTGGCTATCTTTACATGACGTTACCTCCATACTAGCAAAGAGTTTTCCAGTTCACAAACGAAGGCAATTTTTTTAGAAACTCTTTTATATTAGCTTTCCGATAGCCACTATTCAAACTTCCCAGGTGTTAACGCATGTTGTTAATTTTGTTTCAGATCAAATTAAATTATTCAGAAATCCGTAACTAGTTTAACTGTATTGTTGCCATAGGTAAAGTATGCGGTTAAGCGCCACCTTCATGTCGTTATGATCGCAAGTAACGCTTTTTATTGCTTACATTTGTTTCTTTTAGTATCACGCTTTAAGACTAACGGTTTGAATATCTTTAAAGATCTTCTGCCTAAAATATTAAATTTTTTTTTAAATAAATGAGAAAAAATATGATCAAATTTTCATAATCTAATTCAATTTTAATTCAACTGAAATATTAAAAAATAATTATCATTTATAAATCGGAAATCGGTAAATATGACAAAAAGAAGACATTCTCATCTCTCCCCTTCATTTTGTGTTTTTAATGTAGCAGTCAGCAAAGAGTTAATTTACATTTTATTATATTCTTTATTAATTTGTTATAAAATTAGTGTTTGAGTTAAATAAATAAAGCGTATGCGTGTAGATCGGATTAATGAAGTACTTTTTCTTTTTTTTCTCCCATTTTTGAGGTGATAATTCATTTGAAGTATGCAATCGTAATGTCTTCACTTGCACAGTTTATACTGTGTGTTTACTTTCTCTAAGTTTTGAGATCTTCTGTATAATGAGCCGAAGCCGGAGTAACGCTCATTATGATGGAAAAATTGCAGGTTTATATGATTTGGGAGATACTTTAGGACGCGGCCATTTTGCCGTAGTTAAGTTGGCAAAGCACGTATTTACTGGGGAGCAGGTCGCTGTAAAAGTTATCGACAAAACAAGGCTAGATGAAGTTTCGAGGGCTCACTTGTTTCAAGAAGTTCGTTGCATGAAATTAGTACAACATCCGAATGTAGTACGCTTGTATGATGTCATAGACACCCAAACTAAGTTATACTTAATTTTAGAATTAGGCGATGGAGGTGATATGTATGACTACATTCTCAAACATGAGAATGGCGTGGACGAAGAGACTGCGAAGAAGTATTTTCGGCAAATAGTTCATGCCATTTCATACTGCCATAAATTGCATGTAGTGCACAGAGATCTTAAACCTGAAAATGTTGTATTCTTTGAAAAACTTGGTATGGTGAAATTAACTGATTTTGGATTTAGCAATAAGTTCTGTCCTGGCCAAAAATTGGAAACTTCGTGTGGCTCACTTGCATATTCAGCTCCTGAAATATTGCTTGGAGATTCTTATGATGCCCCTAAAGTTGGTAAGTCTGAAATTGTGTCAATCTTAGATATTTCCTTATTGTGATCTGTTGCACCAACTACAATCGCCGAGTTGCGAAATAGATTTTGAACTTGTAAATTCAAAAAATAAAAAACATGTAGATGATGTTGCTTCCTTTCTGTGATGTTACTTTTTTAGTTTCCTGCGGGCCGCTGCGCGTAAGTTTCCAAGATTTGGCAATTATTCTGCCATAGATCAGGATGCAGAAATCTCCCTACCAACTACATTGCCAAGTGCCTAACGGATTTTAAACTTGCTAATTAAAAAAAACATAGGTTTGCTCTGGGGGTGGCTATGAGTTATACTCTTTGAGTATACCACCCCTTCTGTGATATTTTTTCAGTTTCTTGTAGGCTGCTGTTCAGAAGTTGCCAAGACTAAAGGGATTATTCTCTGCAGATCATGATTCGGAAATTTTCCCTCATAAAGTGTGCCTATCAGGTCTTATGGACCAAAACTATAGCGTTAAAGTTCGAGAAATTTTGGAGGAGTCAGAAAAATTTCATGGACTGCTTTATTAAAAGACAGATTCTGTATATTAAGAGAAGAATTGAGTTTTTTAACTTATGAAAATTATTTAAACAAATATATTTTATAAAAAAAAAAAATTTGGCTCCCATGGAAAGCATTATGACAATTATTTATATTATATCTTACCATAAACTAAGTGTATCACATTTGAACATTTTTAATTATTACTTTGATGGACAAAAATTATTGAAAAATCAAAGTTAACAAATGTTTTATTAGTTATCTTTTCTATGGTTTTTGTTAAATTATTGTTAAGCTCTACTGTAATAATATTTGTTTGTTACTAATTCATTTTTCTACTGATTTTTGTCTGATTAATTAGTGTATAAAGCATTGTTGAAATTCTATTTTTTTTTTTGGTTGATCCATATTTAATATCTGTCCCAAAATATTGCACTTTTTAGTGATTTTTCTGATTTTTATATCGATACCTGCGCTTAAAAAGTTATAAACTTTGGCAATGACTAAGTAGTTGGGTATATTTCCACATCAGTATTTTTGTTTAGGCCAATTAAAGTACCCAAAAGGCCAAATTGCTAAAAGGGCAAAAGGATTTTAAGTTTCCAAAAATTTGATAAAAAAAATCAAAGTATGTCTTTGAGTTGGTCTTCTTCAAAGATATTTTTTTAGTTCCTTATATGCCACTTCCCGGAAGTCTATAAAATTCTGCGACTATTTTGGTGTCGATACCAATATAAAAATCTTCCCAGGCAGTGGCATATGAGAAACTTCAAAGTAACATCATTACTCAAATGATGTATCTTCGATTTTGCCACCTCTGGAAAACCACCTTATATTTATTTATTTTAACTTTTGCAAGTTTAACAAAACTTGGGCACCTTCTGTTACATTCATAATATTTAGTTAATGTACAAGGTGCAACTATTAATTAAAGGTGTTATAATATGTGCAACTATTGCCGGGTGTTCTAGTTTTAATAACTCTTGAAAATATTTTGTGAATTACATATTCTGATTTATTATTTGAATTAGCCTCTGCTTTGTGTTTCTGTACTTAGATGTAATAGTTTCAAAAACTTTTAAAATCTTTGTTCAAAATGTTCTTTTACTCTGAGTTAGAGGTTGAGGTTTTATTAATGACCTTATCCTTAAACCTTGTACTGTTAGCAAAGTTTTTTTTTTGCTTTCAGTTAAAAATTTTTTGTCAGTTTCTATATTTTTTCTAACAAATATCTAAGATTTAAGAGGAAAACAATGAATAAATAAATAAATATTAATTGAGAATGTCAAAGGCAATAAATAGAAGATCAAAATTGAAAATCATTCCAAGACAAAACTGTAAAAAAATTGCTTCTAAAATTTTTATGGATGGCCTAGTACGGAAATTGAGTTTGAGTACATATAGGAATTATTTGATAAGTTTTGTAAATTAACACTTGTACCTTGTATTCAAGGTTTGATTATGAGTTTACTTATAAATATATTTTTGGAATTCACATTATGTTGTTTACAATATTTTCAATTTTCTTAAATTTTAGTTCTTTTAAAATTAATGAAAAAAAAATTTTTAATTTTCTTTTTTTTTGTTACAATTTTTCCTTAACTGTAATTGTATAAATTTGTTATTAAGAACTTTTAATCCCTGAAAATGTTATAGTTTAAATTGAATGTTAGATCTTTGTAAATTTCATAAACTGTTATTTTAGATGTCTGGAGTTTAGGAGTCATCCTGTATATGCTTGTATGTGGTCGAGCTCCTTTTCAAGAAGCTAATGACAGTGAAACGCTTACCATGATTATGGACTGCAAATACCATGTTCCAACTCATATATCTGAAGATTGTGTGAGGTAATTTATATAGTATACTACATATTCTCTTTGCAATATATATACTGTTGCCTGAAAATAATTTTTATCTTGTTTGATGATTGTTACAAAGTTGATATAATGATAACTTATATATTTGAAAAATTTGAATTTTATAGCGTAAATTTTATCTTGTATTAAGTTTTTTGCCAATGCAATTATGTTGCGATCACTACTTTTTATTTTGTTTGCCTCTAATAGGGTTGGGAAACACTGATGTACAGGGAATTTTTTTCCAGATTTGAGTGGCAACCCTGACAAATGTTTTTAATGCACAATTTTAGTCTCATTTTTATGGTGTTGCAAACAGTAGCAGGCATTGACTTGCTGATAAATTTTATGCTCTATTTTTTCTCCTCTAACTTTTGAAAATCTTCAATCCTGTAGTTATTATGCAAATTATAATGAACTAAAAGTGAAACATCAATGCTTGTTTCAATCATAAGAGTATTACAGGTTTACAAGCATTAGGGTGACCTGGGGTAATTATTGATCAAAAAATGCAAACATCTATTTTGTGAAAAAACTATTCAAGATAGAATTTTAATCAGGGTTGGCAGGTTTTTGACATGTGACAGTTTTTGACAGTTTAAACCATGGTTTAAACCGTCACGTCAAAAACCTCACTGTCAAAAATGTCGAAAATGTCAAAAACCTATATTCATATGTGAAATTTAATTAATACATAAAATTTATATATTTTTTA